TGAGGAATTTTTTCATCTTTAAGCAAGGTGGCAGCTGAGAGGAAAAGACCATACAGAGTCCCATGTAAGGTTTAACTACTGATGATAGGAGAGTAAGATTTTTTTTCCTTCATTCTATTTCACTTAATTTTGTTGTATGAAGTCATATATAAAAGCACCACAACAGCATGTGTGTTCAACAGTAAAAATTCAGGATGCCCAGGAAAAGAGGAAATAATTTTGATGCAGAATCCCCTTCCAGTGCTTTCTAAATGCCATTTTAACTTGGATTCTGCAGCTACTAACATTATTAATCATTACTCCCACAATAATGTCTTAGGTAGTCACTTCAAGAAAAACAAAATACATATAACCAGTATGAACATGTGCAAGTCTCCCAAAGTCAGCAGAAATTGCTTCTTTATACTGGCTATCAAATGAGGTCAGAAATATCTTAAAGGCTGTGAATGACTCTGGCAGTGATGTCAAAACCAACCCCAGTTCAGGTCAGCTTTACTGCACAAACTTCTTTTCCTCCCACTCTTTGTCTTTTTCCACTCCCCCTAAGAGTACATGACCTGCTTTGTGAGGAGGAAGGCATACATTCCAAATCTCTCAGAAAAGAACAGTGGCACAGGTAAACATATATTTTTTTTTCTGAACATGTATGACTTCACAGGTTTCAAATTTTTCCCCTATGAAATTTAAATAAAAAATAATAAAAAATAATGTGTGCAAGCCTCTCAATTAAATCATGCAAGAACCAAAGACACAGGATATGAAGTCGCTGCCAAAGCAGGGTTGAGTGTTAAGTGTTCATCATATATAGCACTGCCCTTGAAACAAAAGCAGTAGTTATTTTAAGTAACCATAAGCAATACTCATGTGCAATTCAAAGGAGATCGGATATAAAGAGATAAAGATTAGAGTACAGCAATACGGCTTTCATTATACAATGTAATCCAGCGTGTCTGATGTAACTGGATGTGACACAAATGTAAATAGCAACAGGTTTGGGAATACAGGGTTTTCAAAGTCTAACATGCTTTTAAGGACAACTTTTAGTTAAGTTCAAAAACAATCTTTGAAACGTTTTTCAAAAAGAACCCTCCGCATACTTGCTAGAAGTATAATATGCATAAATAATTAGACATGTTATGCAAGATCAAACAGAACTGCTATTTGAGAAAGAACGGAATATTTAACCTCACAAATAGATGCGGGCACCAAACACAAAGATCCTGGCCATTTGGAGATGCAGATGCATTTAAGGCAAAATGGGACAAGTTTAACATGAGGCTTAAAAAGGATACTTGCTTCAGAATAGGAAATTATTACAGATCAACCGCACAGTGACTTAGCACTCCATTTCCTTACTGAACTACTATACTGGTATGTAATTTGCATTATATCTAAGGAAGATGTTTCACTTTTAAACATCAATGATTTTATTAATAGCTTCTGGAATATTAAATAGAAATTAACATGACAAAAACTACCCACTTATTCGACTAATGCTTAGAATATTCAGATTCAAAAGAAACGTACTTGGGATTAAAAAGAAAAACCTATGTTTTGCTAAACACCATGCTCTTAAAATAGTGATCCAAGATCTTGAAAGTAAGCAAGTGACTAATACCAATTCCATGATGAACTGTTTTTTTGTAATATGATCACACAGTACAATGAGCAATATGAACTTTGCACACGAATTTTATGAGGTGCTGCTATAAAATATCATTGTTTTCCACACTTTCAGAGAGCAATAGCTAGGATGAGGCCTTGACTACCTCAGTTATTTCTCAAAGTGAGGGAATTAATTTAGGTCCAGAATTTTTCTTATTTCTTTCAAAAGAAAAAATTGTTTGTCCATGAACCACTGTAATGTTTTTTTATTTATTCTAAATTGTTAGAAAGCAATCCCATCAAGTGTTTTCAAGAATGTGTTGATGTTTTCAGGTTACTACCATGTGTACCATAGATTAACTTTTGGCATGTACTGGCAAAGCTCTTCAGAGAATCAATCTGTCCATCTCCTCCAATATCTCAGGATACAAGTCCTGTATGCCCCAATTACAAACCACTGAACCCACATCAGTGTTTGAAATATTTTAATCTGCCTGTCTCCATCTCTGTTCCTCTGTTCCTCCTTCTTCCCACTCTTACACCTGTATTCCCCCATATCACCCTAAAAATACTTTCTTTGGCATAATATGTACTTGATCCTATAATACATTACTCAAACACATTAAGGACTGTATACGTATAAATGATCACTTTAGAAAGTAATTCAAATATATGAGAATTTTCAAAGATAGTACATGGAGAATGCCTTCCTAAACATAGGCTATTTGCATAAATCTTCAAGATTAAATTAATGCTAACTAACCATGCAACACAGATGAGGAGTTAGCGAATGCTGAGCCTGTCCGAAGGGCTATTTGGGAAACTGTGTTCAGCAAATGGCAGCAATGAACCCCTGCATGAGTAGCTTCTTACACTATATTCCAGCCATGCTAAAGCATTCGAGGGCAGCTCCTCCCTCCTCCTTCCCTCACAAGGTCAAAAATATTAACTTAAAACAAAAGAATGAAAGAGAGGGGAAATTCCTAGAAGCAAGCACTGGCCTTGCCTGACTAGTAGCTGAGATTTGTGGTAGTTTTGGCTGATCCACTCAGTCTCCTGAATGAATACCAAGCAGTGTCTGTCCACCTGCACCGCAACACATTAGAGAGCCCACTCAGGAACGGCCCTGGTAAGTGAGCTGTACCCAGGTATCATATGGCAGACAGGTTGCAGGCTGCCTCACTGGCAGGCAAAAGGTGGCAATGACACTCCATCCTGTGCAGGATTAATCAGGGTGAACTACCAACAGTTTGATCATTTTAAGTCACCTGTTCAACATTTCCTTATAAAAGGAACTCTCTGAGGAATACTCAGACTATCAGCGACAAGTGCATGACAATTTAAGAAGCAGCCAATTTTTCCACTGCAATGAAAGCATGTCTAGCCTCCAAGACTCCCGACTCAAACCCTCATCTATTCTTTCACACGCACATGGTGTGAGTCTGAGCCCGCTCTCAGCTATGGGACTGGTCAGCTCATCTTCTCCCCAACTGCTCTGCTATTTTAATCACACTGTGCTTGAAATTAAGCGTGACAGTCTCTCCACTACTGAGTCAATCACTGGTGCAGCCCCAGTTCTGTCTGTGGCAGCCAATAGCACACATACACGTCAAACAGACAGCAGAGGACACAGCTAACAGCTCAGCCTTTCAGAAACCCACCAAATCTTCCCTTACATTGTTCTTTAGGAGAGAAAGCAACAGGAGAGGTGTGATGAACTGAGAATCCCAACAAACCTTTCGGTACCACACAGGCATCACCAGGTGCCGTAAGAAAGGACTACCATATAATCCCACCCATCAACACCGAACCTGAAACCCAGACGTCAAATTACAGCGACAGCTGGCAAGAGCCAGTACATCTCTAACTATGAAGATTTAGCCCAATGCTGCAAAATTTTTTATGTGAGTAATTTTGAAACATCATGAAGATGGTAACACAACTAGGTATTGTGTTTTTCAGATATGCAAGTTTTAGCATTGTGCTGTAAAATTAACCAATCAGCAACACTTGCCTGTGCATACAAAACACCACAAATGATACTGGAGTTCAAACTTCGCTCTCACTCAAGACTACCAGAAGCCCAGTTGGAGTTGTGAAGCCATGGCTGACCTAGAGCTTCAACCAGTCTGCAAACTGTTAAGTAATTCATTGCCAAGGTCAATTTGTAAAACTTACAATTGCTGTTTAAATTAAAAATCAATTCTGTATAATGTGAGTTAGATTTCTGACTGAACAGGATATGATGAATTCCACCACTCTAAGAGGGTTACGTGAGAATAATTTATGGTATTGAGTCTCCAAATCTGGAATACTTTTTGTTTGTTTTTTTTTTTTATTTTATTTTATTTTATTAACTGTTTAAGTGTTATCTATGGTCTTCTAAAAGCAAATACATTTGGCAAATACACAAATGGCATTACTCTGCAGCATTGCTTGTAAAATAAACTGGAAATCCTGACTCAATTCTTTGTCTTAAGAACAAACTATATTAGGTTATCATTAGTGATCAGCACAACTGTTTTCTGATCAGCCTTCAAAGAAAATAAAGCAGGGAGAGATGTACATTTGATTTCTAGAGAGCTGGAAACAATAAAAAATAATGCTGAATGAGAATTGCCGATTTGCCCATGTAAACTTTGGCTCTTTAGGTTCATTTTTTTTAATATTCTTTCATTCCTCCCTGCAGCCTGCAGTTCTGAAGGCTACATGCATTTGAACCACCTTTTTCCATGAAGCCCACCTTGACACAAATCCAGTTTTTTATTGCTTAAAATACGAAACACTGACTTATGGAACGGCGATGAGAGGGAACCCTTAATGTAGAATTCTCCGGAGTTACTGATGCGTAATTTACAGGCTCGTTCCTCGCCCGGTGTTCGGCGACAGCTCTGTACCGCGGCGCCGCCCTGGGCATTCCCGAGCTGCCGGCGCCGCTCCCCGCACTGCCGGAGGGCCATCCTCCTTCTGTTCGACCCACAGGAAATTAAATGTACCGAGCCTAAAGCCGTGGCCCACCTGAAGACGCCTAGGCGAGGAGTTTTAAAAGTTATTTTTGATCGCTTTTCACGCACAACGCCGAAGGGCTCCGCTGCCGGAATCTTTCACGTTCAGCCTCCCTGGCTAGAGAGCCTCACCGAGCTCACCGGCACGGCACGGCACGGCACGGCGGGAGGAAATACTCCGACCGGGGTCCCCGCGACCCAAGGCCGGGAGTAGACGGCCGCCCTCGGGCGAGCCGCGGGGCAGGGCAAGCCCCGGCTCCCTCCCCGCCGCCCCCGCGCCGCCCCGCACGCCTCCACCATGTTGTCTCGGTGCGCAGCGGCGCGGAGGAGGGACCGCCGCCGCCAGCCCGGCTCCGCGGGGGCCGCCCGGCTCCTCCCCGCGGCCTCCGGTTCGGGCGCGGAGGCGCTGCCCCGGCCGGGAGGCGCGGCGATCCCGACCCGGAGCGCATGGAGGGAAACGCGGTGCGGAGGAGGGGCCGCCGTGCCCACCGGAGATCCCGGCCATAGGGGCGGGGAGTCTCCTCCTCCTCCTCCTCCTCCCGCAGCGAGGCTCCAGCTCCCCGCACGCACCGGAGCGCTCGGCTCCCTCCTCCTCGTCCCTCCTCCCTTCCCCTCCTCCCCGCTTCCCTCCCCGGGTCGCCGCGGCTCCGGGAGGAGCGGGGGGGCCCCCGCTTCCTTCCCTCCCCCCCTCCTTCTCCCACCCGCCACGCCGAGGAGAGGCAGGTGAGGCCCCGGCCGCGTCCCCGCTCCGCCGCCCCACGGGAGCTGCGGCCGCGATGGCGGCGGCGATGGAGGCGCTAGGCCCCGGCCGCCCGCCCCCGGCCTCGCCCCGCCGCCGCGCCCCGGGGGCGGGGGGCGTCCCGCACCCCCGGCCCCTTCTCCTCTGCAGAAACTTTCTCGGCAACTTTCTCTCGGGCCCGAGCTGCTGCCCGCGGGGCCGAGGGGTCGGGCGGGCGGGAGCCGGGCTGGGCTGGGCGGGCTGCGTGGGGCGGGCTGCGGGCAGTAAGTTTGTGGGGGAGGGCCCCGTGACCCCTGCTTGGCCCGGCTCCCCTCCCGGGCCCTGCCCGCCGGGCTGCCGCGGGCCGGCTGCTCGTCCCCCGGCGGAGGCGGCGATCACCGCCCGGGCTGGTGCTCGGCGTGAGCCGCTCCCGGCGCGGGGCCGGAGGATGGGAAAGGGCAAAATTCAGGAGTCGCGTGTAGCTTGGCCTGCGTGGTTTTACATTCTATTAATTTTTCTTCCTCCCGCCCTACTGTTCTGGTTTATATCCCATTATCGAGCCTAGAATATGACCGCTGTACGTTTCTGAGTCATTAATTTAAATGTTCAATCATCACACTTCATGAAGGCTCCTTGTCTTCCTTACAATTAAAAAAAAAAATGTGTTGGACACACAGAGGTTCCTGTTCCTGTGGAGTCTGCACATAACTTTCTGCTCTCTGTGGACCCTCAGGCTTGAGGCCCCGGCCGCGTCCCCGCTCCGCCGCCCCACGGGAGCTGCGGCCGCGATGGCGGCGGCGATGGAGGCGCTAGGCCCCGGCCGCCCGCCCCCGGCCTCGCCCCGCCGCCGCGCCCCGGGGGCGGGGGGCGTCCCGCACCCCCGGCCCCTTCTCCTCTGCAGAAACTTTCTCGGCAACTTTCTCTCGGGCCCGAGCTGCTGCCCGCGGGGCCGAGGGGTCGGGCGGGCGGGAGCCGGGCTGGGCTGGGCGGGCTGCGTGGGGCGGGCTGCGGGCAGTAAGTTTGTGGGGGAGGGCCCCGTGACCCCTGCTTGGCCCGGCTCCCCTCCCGGGCCCTGCCCGCCGGGCTGCCGCGGGCCGGCTGCTCGTCCCCCGGCGGAGGCGGCGATCACCGCCCGGGCTGGTGCTCGGCGTGAGCCGCTCCCGGCGCGGGGCCGGAGGATGGGAAAGGGCAAAATTCAGGAGTCGCGTGTAGCTTGGCCTGCGTGGTTTTACATTCTGTTAATTTTTCTTCCTCCCGCCCTACTGTTCTGGTTTATATCCCATTATCGAGCCTAGAATATGACCGCTGTACGTTTCTGAGTCATTAATTTAAATGTTCAATCATCACACTTCATGAAGGCTCCTTGTCTTCCTTACAATTAAAAAAAAAAATGTGTTGGACACACAGAGGTTCCTGTTCCTGTGGAGTCTGCACATAACTTTCTGCTCTCTGTGGACCCTCAGGCTTGATGTGTTTCAAGTAGTGTGCTCAGACCAAGGGCTAGTGTGACTTCTTCAATATTCAGTGTTACAAATATGTGAAGTTTATTGTATGATTATTTATTATATTAATATATGGGCTTCTACATGTCTTGTATGCATGTGGGTATGATCCTCTTGGCACTGGGAAAACTAGGACAGAAATATTTCTGAAGCTCATGTTGTAAAGGTATATTCAGATGTACCTGCTGGATTTAACCCTAGGCAGAGGCCAGTCATTAATTAAAAATTAGATGTTTGGATTTATTTAAGGTGGCAGAATGTTCCAAAACCAGTTTTGAAGCCTGGAGTGTGTTGACAAGGAAAGTGTTTCACTTAATATAATTCATAGATAGCTGAATGATATTTCAGGCAAATTTTTCAAGTGAAATTGATCTTAAGTCAGGGGAGCCAGATACGAAAGTTTATTTCAGAGTCTTTCTCTTTCCTTTTTGGAAAGTAAGCATTGAAGAGGGATAGAATTGCCTTGTGAGTTACCTTTGCAGTACCTCTGTTTGTGGTATAGTTCAGCCATAACCATGTTTTTGTTGGCTTCACAGAAGTAAGGACGTTTCCTTTCCAAACAACAAAACCTCGCACTTCCACTCTTATTTCTGATGTGCATCTGTAAATTTAGTTATAGGAGGTTCCTACTGATCACAAGCATAGAGTGGAGACTCTGTGTGTGTTCTGCACAGCCACAGTGTTGTGGTTAATTTTGGGACAAGGTAGCATCTGTGATAGCAACAGGGACAGCAGCATGGACACAGTGCTTCTGCTGAATTTCAAAGAAAAAGGTCCTGTGGTACCAGATATGACAGTAGTTAGTAACAACAATTGCCAGTAATTAATAATTCCACGTGCTTTGTTAGCTTTATTTCTTTAACAGGTGCAGCTTAAATACAACTATAATCTCTGTGTGCCTTCAGTCCCTCTAACAACTCTTTTGGCTCTTAGAAGATTTCAGATAAATTTGGCAGCAGAGGTCTCCCAGGTGAGCAGTTTCTACAAAATATCTGGAAGTAAGGAAGCCAGGTAGAACGGCGCTTTTAACCTGCACACCAGAGAGTTCACGGCAACACTTAAGCTGGAAATTGCTGCAGGAAGTGGGGCCTCCCTGGTTTTGCTGCCTGCAGAGCTACTGGTCCAGTTTTCAATAGTTATTTAATAACTGAACCCCCATACCATTCTATCTGGAATGAGACTGGTGAGCCCAAGGTAGCTTTAATCTGTGTTTTGTATTACAGTGAGAAATTTTCAAGGAAATACTTGTTACTCAACAACAGTTCTTTGGGTACAAAACAAATGAGTGGAACTAAAAGTATACTTAAATTGCTGCATTATTTTGAAATAGCTGGAAAAATACTTAATACATTTTTGGTGTGCTGCATGCTATGTAACGGAATTACTGAAAAACTTCACATTATAGGGGTCTTTATCAATATTCATGCAACAAAGCAGAGAACTATGCTTCTGCACCAAAGAAATGCTCTTTATTTTGGGCTTTGTGCACTTCTGCACCTCCTGGAGAATGAAATCGTCACTCTGTTCAGTCTGATAAATCATGGCTGTCATGTGACAGCGATGCAAATGTCTGCAGTGTGGCACATGTCAGATTATGTGGTCAAAGTTTACTTTATGAACTAACTGGCTGCATGGTTTTACTTTTCCATCTGCTTTACCTGTGGACAAAAGCTGTACATTTTCAATAGATAATTCCTTGTGTTGAAAACATTAGTTAAAAGAAATACATTCTTTTCATTCATATTCCCTACTTGCATCCCACTGTTTGGCCACATAGTTTGGTCACAGTTTGAGTAAGGTACCTTGATGTTAATTTAAAAATTGGTGTCAGTACTAACACAAAAGTGACTTTAGCAGCGCGTCCTTTTTCTCCTGTGTCGCATCAAGCAGCCTTTTTCAGGTAGGACAAATTCTGTGCATACTTACACAGCCTGTGATTTCTGTGAAGTCCTCCTGAAAGATTTCAGGCTTCTGGTGCTGAAAGTCCTGTGCCTGTGGATGGAACAGATTGATCCATGAGGAGAACTGCAGTTTCTCTACTGTGGCAGAATGGGTTAGCTTTTGTCTTGGAGGAGCCACCTCCAAATACAAGTAGGTAACTCAGTCTCAGGATTTATTTCATTTCTGTTCTCCTTGAGAGTGCCAGTAGGAGGCTGTTTTATAGTGATGGATTTTATGATGTGATAATCACTATTTTTTATATTTTTTTTAAATACTAGCTGCTTTACAATTGCCATATGGGAACTTCTTTCAATCACTGCAGTCCCTGGCTGCATTCACACCAGTGATTAGAGCTGTAGAGTTCCAGATTGTATCACCAATTGCCAGGTTTTGAAGGTAAACCTGGACAACTTCCTATGTGTATGCTTCGTTTAGTAGAGAAAATGTAATACTGAAAAGATGCTGTCAACTAACTGTAGGACAATTTTAATTTTAGCTTATAAGAGGTCATTCTTACTGCCTTTTGCATTTATGGGGGTTTATCCTTGATGGTGCCAGTGCATCAAAACAGAAATTGGCACCAAAGTAAGTTAATTAAATGAGGGGGACTGCACCCTTAGGTAAAGTTAACATGCATGGCTGATTGCAGGATCAGAGATCAAGATGATAGTAACTTTAATGCTAGAAATTGAGTAAGTAAACACTATTACTTATGCGTGAGTTTTGTTCTTTTTAAACACATATTCTTTGAAAATGTAGAGGGTAGCTGGAAATAGGATAGGAAATGCTCTCTGTTGTCATTTTGGATAGGCACCATATAGAGCGCTGGGTTTCACGCTGTGTCCCATAAGTCAGTGGACCAAAGCCATGCACAGCTGAAATCAAGCCCTCAAGCTGGACTTCTAGCTAGTCCTGGCTTGTATCCCAGCCCCACAGCTCAGTGGGTTACTGCTGTAGAGATCATCACTAACTGCATTTAAGGCTGTGTTGACTGTTGTGGCCAAGACTGGGGTTTTGTTTCGATTTTTCTTGACTGTAGAACTAGGTAATGTTACAGAGCATGGTTGGAGAATGATGAGGAAGTAAAACCTCAGACTGGAATAATTTGTATTTTAGCTTCTTGAACACTGTTAGTTGTTGAGTAGAGAATTGGATAACTTTTTTTGTTAACCTGGCTGTATTTTATCTTTGTGATTTTGGATGGTAAATGCTTTTATAGTAGTGTTACATGAGACTTCAATAAGTATCAGTATTGACTGCACCTATATCTTAAGTGTTCATGTAAATTTTGAATTCTGATGGTGATACTGAACATTAAATAATTTGTCTTTCTACTTCAGGGAGATGAAAAACTTCTATGGCTTAAGATGTTTCTGTGGTTTTCTTAACATCAGAAGTCTAGAGAAGACTGGGAAAACTAAATGATTCTTCAGAAGTGATGAACCCTTTTAGTTGAAATTTTAAGGTTATCTAGATGAGGCTTACAAGAAGGAATAACTTTGTTTAATTCCATTGACAGTGAAGTTGATTAAACTCACCCACATAAGTAAATCTTTGTAGAT